GCCGCCAACCTAGTCACGCTAAACCAGCGACTGCGACTCTAAGTTATTAGATAGTATCTTGTAATAAATTTAGGCCTATGAAGAGTTGTTTGCTGATGTGAAATATTGGTGTTTTCAGATGTCGGTAGGCTGCTGCAGAAAGCATCGTCATTGGTAGAAGGCCTAAAAAGTGTTGGGGTGGGATCCTCATCCAAATCATCCCAATCCCAGATAACAATCCCTGCCTTAGATTCGCCCAACAATCACATATTCCTCACCAAGTTTATTTAAAGATATACCCCAAAAACCACCTTAAAGAAATAAACCCATCTTAATCTCCTTTATTTTCACCAGTTTCTTCCCCACCACCTAAACATTCTTTTCCTTCCGTTTCATCCTCCCCGCCCCACAGTTCGATGATTTGTGAAGTATCTTTCACCTCACCTTCTGCTACCATCAAAGATGAAGGACACCTGGTTCATTATCCAGAGAAAAATCCATTAAATGTCTTGGTACAGGATATAATAAAAGAGGGAGAAACCATCAGCAACGGCAGAGAACAACTGTTTTTCAATGGAACAGAGACCAATGCAATTTTTATTTGTATTTCATGCTATAAAGTTATTGTACAATCATGTTTGTATAGTAGGTTATATAATGTCTCAATCCCATCAGGGACTTGGGAAAAACAGTAGCATTTTTCAAAAGTCATTAAATAAGAAATAACGTAAAATATCCATAAATTGGAAATTCATGAGTAGTTTAAAACGTATGCTTAATTTTCGCTGAAACGCGTGATTAAGTCTCTACTGCGTTTACTAACTCAAACTGACATAATATGTTTATTTTCCTGAGAATTTAAATACAGTAGTTATAGAAATCAGAAGAGCAGAATATTTTAGAGCAAAGGTTAGGGGCTATGACCCCTTCAAGCAAATAGTATGTATACTCATTAATTCTGATATTGTTACAAATTTGTTTGTAATAACTATTAAAAATACTTAGTTTAAGTTAGCGTTTATAAAATATAGATGAACTGTGTCCCTTCAAGCAACTAGTAGAATGTAGAAGGCTAGAGAGAGAAAACGATCAAGGTCCAAAAATCCTAAATTTTATATTATTGACATATTTTGATTCCTTATGAGGAATAGTAAAACCACGTGCAACGTCTACAGCGTAAAAACGATCAGGGTCCGAAATATAGCGCAAAGAAAAATGGGTATGCTGAGAAGTAACGATCAAGGTCCATCGGCTACAGCGAAGTAACGAACAATGTCCAAGCGAGCGACAGTGGAGGGGGACATGCGCCCGTCACAACAGCTCAGTCAGCTGATGAGTGGCTGGTAGCCGGTGGCAGAGTTGTTTATGTGCTAGTGACACGGTGTTTTTATGTTGTAGTGGGTAGTTTTCGACATTGGAAATGAGTGATAGTGGTAGTGTAAGTGAAGAAATGTGCGAGTAGGTGTTAACTTGAACTCAGTGAAGAAAAAACGTAAGTATGGATCAATGTTTGAAGCTGCTAAACGGATGAGAAATACAACACACGAAACGGGGGAAGAATGTCACTGTAAGAGATTAAAATGTTTTTCACATGTTGATAAAAATGCCCGGAATATACTGATACGAGACTTTAACAACTTAAGTGATAGAAATTCTCAAAACTCGTACTTAGCTGGTTTAATTTCTGTTGAACATATTAAGCGTAGGAGACCCAGATAGGACATTACCGAAGCTAATTTACATGACTTTAGCTATTCCTATTAAGTGCGGGTTACGAAAGAAAATAAGATTGAGGAGATTCCTGTTTGTTTTAATGCTTTTAAAACAAGCATTTTTTGGCATTACAAACCGACGTTTGCAGTTCATTAAAAGTAGTTTAGGAAAGATAGGTATGCCACCTATTGACAAAAGGGGAAAACGTGAGAACCGGGGGAAAAATAAATTACCCAATGATACTTGTATTGCCCTAAACAAGTTTTTCACGTCCTTAAAAGGCCGCAAGGCTCATTACAGTCCAAAGGACACACACAAAATTTATCTGTCTGAGCATCTAAATAGAAAAAAAAACTACTAGGTATGTTTCTGCAAAAAATTTTGGAATAGAAGTATCGTATGAAAAATTTAGAGAAGAGTTTGATAAGTGCAACATTGGATTTGGATATCCAAGATCCGACACGGCAGTTCGATCAGGGCTTCGAGCCATATTCACAGAAGAACATAATGCAGTGTGTGAACTGCTCAGTGAAAGGCGGAATTGCAAAGGGCCCCTTTGGAATCAATCTTCAAACTGTGCTGTCTTTTTCCACAGAGGGTCTCAAACACATTGAGCATGCATATGTTCAGCAACTAGCGACATATGAAAACGGCGTGGCGAACGACGCACTTCCCTCAGCGTCCTTCGCAAATGATCGGAGAATCGCACAGCCCACCACTCTCCTCGTGGCAGGAAGATACAGTGTGGAGGAATTCCTAAGAAGGGTCAGCCATGCCGTTCCGACCCCAGATGAAAACGCTGGTGAACATGAGGAGGATGAAGACATAGCTATTGTACAAAATAGCAATGACTTGCCAGCTCTTCCACCACCACCTCCCCCGATTTAAAGTAGAACAGAAGAAACCAGTAGGGATAATTATGTTAAGGAGACCGGTAGGACCTTGGTACATGCTTTACCACCGACATAATAGGACCATTACCCCGATGTAAAAGGGAAATAAATTTGCATTGGTTATCCAGGATAATTTTTCAAAATGGGTTGAAGTTACTCCGTTGAAACCGCAACTGCTAAACAAGTATTTGAAAAGTTTAAAGATTATTTTATTAAGATATGGAGCTACCAAAATGCTACGATGCGACAATGGCACTCAATTTACTGCTAACATTTTCAAACAGATGGCAGATGAATGGAATATTAAATTGGAATATACAGCCCCTTACAGCCCACAATCTAATCCTACAGAAAGAGATAATCGTGTACTAAAGACGATCATTTCTCAGTATGATCACAAAACCTCGGATCAGAATTTACAGAAATTCAGATTTGAATTCAAGGTTTGACAAAGACGAAATCACGACCATCACGGCACACGCGAAAGACTTGAAACCCTTTATTGACTAAATTACAAACATACACATAGGCTAACACTTTGACTTTCTCAATTTCAATTGTGACCACATAGTATTGTAACAATTTGTGTTAACTATTGAACTAAATTTGTATCTGCACGTTGCATGGATTTTGGTTGCAAGGGTGTCCGGCGGAACGAGAAAAAATTCTATCTTAAAAATCACAACTGAAAAACGGATGGCACTAGAAGAAATTCGGGGATCGATGACCCTCAATCAATAATCCTATAAATCACTAGTGTGGCCTTGGTTTACTCCTGCCCGATCAATTTTGGATTTAGGCGTTCGACACCTTCCTGTACGTTGTGTACAAACAGGGTCGGACACCAGGGTTAAAAACTGGCATCGGGGAACAAATATATTTAACCGTGACATAATTAATATTCTTTCCTGTCCACATCCCTGAAGAAAACCATTGGAAGAAAAATCTAAAATCGCTCATCATTGCTGGTCCGAAAATCATCGTATGAATTTTGAAGAGGCAAAAATTGTCCATAAGGAACCTCATTTTTTCAAACGTAAACTCATTGAAGCCTCATACATTAAATTAGCAGACCAACCAATCAGTCAGTCATCGGTTGAAATAAGGCCACTTTGGCTACCCATTTTGAACAAGGAACTAAAGGATAGGGAACTTAATTGTTCAATAAATAGGGAAATAACGAGTTCTCCTCAAAATTCGCACGTTATGTTAACTCGTAGTAAAACTCGTGATATGAATAAACATAATTAACACCCATCTTGCGGCATCGTACATCGCTCCGCCATTTTGTTGGTTTTACTTTTCCAGGGACCGGAAGCCATTTCTGTTGTCTCCGTGTTTCCGATTGGTCAGCCATGTTGGTTCAGTCTCATTGGTGGAGTCATAGCGTACGGTGTTGTTAGTGTTCCATTGTGTGAGTTTTTTGTACGTAAACCTTTTATAGATTATAGTGTTTTGTGATTTGTTATTAATTGCATGTTGTATCATGACTTTAGGTTGGCAAGATGGTGGAGGAGAGTGAGGACGCCCCTTGTGCTGTATGTAAAGTTGTGATTCCTAGTGATGGAAAAGGACTATTTTGTGATGGATTTTGTAAATTATGGTTTCATCCATCATGTGTAAATGTATCAGATACGAGATATGAGCTTATTAATGAGATACAAGAAGACATTAAGTGGTACTGCTCAACCTGTGTGCTGAAGATAGACTGGTTAGTCACTAAAGTGTGGGATACGGACGATTTGTTAAATTTGAGATCAATTGTTGACAACTTAGTGGGGCTTGTAAAAGGAGTGATAAATGACAATTTAGAACTAAATAAGCGAATGGACTCTTTAGCTGATGGAAATGTAAGGTTAAGCAATACAATACTGTCACTGTCGTCTGCAGACGGGAGTAAACAGGAATTAGCAATGTCGAACATTTCAGGGTTTTGTGGTTCTTCCTCTTCCTCTCTCCGGCAGAGTGCAAAAAACGCTGTCGACGATATGACTTTCGATCAAACGATCGGTGAACCAATGACTTCCAATGCTCTATGCAATGGCAAAGATGAATTAACAAATAATTTAGTTGGCGTTGACGGAGACTTGCAATTGCAACCTAAAGTCGGTGACGGTGACTTGCATTCTAGAAACCCAAAACATTCGAGACATAACCAACAACGAGAAAATAGTTCTTATTCAAACAAAAGTAGAATTTATACCAACTCTTCTGACTGGACAGAAGTCAGAAATAATAAAAGGCGCTTTAATAATAGAAAGTATCCAGCAACCATTACTTATAATGAGAAGAAATCTGAAACCATAGTTAGGCCTATGGATTCTGAGGATAAGGCTCATGCTCATGGTATGTCGAAGCCCAAGGCTTATAACGAGGCTGTAAAAGGTAGGCCTACTATAAGAAATAAAGTTGTGCATGGGACTCAAGAGGTAAGTGAAGACAATTTGCTTAAACCAGCTCAGAGAATGATGTGGCTTTTTCTGACAGGCATGGACATTTCGGTAACTTCGGACTCAATCTTAAAATATTTGAGAAGTTTAAAAGAAAATGCCAATTTTCAGTGTCAAATTATAGTGTCAAGGTATGACAGTTATCGCTCTTTCAAGGTAGGTGTACCTTTCGATCTTGGTGAGGAATTCATGCATCCTAACCTCTGGCCCGTAGGGAGTAAGATTGGGAGATATCGCCCCCCTAGGACAAACCGTTGGGATAGGGCTGGTCAAGACAATTTTTTAGGCCCAGTATCAAACAGGACTATAGAAACCAGGGATCACCCAAAATAAATCAAGTTATCAAGCTACTATCAGTAAACATACAGGGTCTTAAATGTAAACTTGGTGATTTGGAGCTTTTTATGAATGACTGTGACATTAATGTTGCTTGCCTCTGTGAACATTTTTTAAGAAATGATGAAGCTGAATTTTATATACCGAGTGGTTACCAATTAGGAAACAATTTTTGTCGTTCCAATCTATCAAGAGGTGGAGTTGGAATACTTGTTGCTAAGGACATTCTGTTTAAAAAAATTGATTTGAATCAATTTTGTTTAGAACTCGACTTTGAAGTCACTGCGGTTGAACTACCTCATTTTAACCTAATTGTTGTGTCATTATATAGATCGCCTATGGGTAATGTAGACATTTTCTTGCGGTCTTTGGAAGATATGCTAGCTTTCCTAGTCAGTAGGGGAAGTACAAGTAAACTCATGATTGGTGGCGATTTCAATGCGGACTTTGACATCACAACTGTAAAGCCTAGTGTTACAAACTTTTTGAATATACTTAGACAGTTTAATCTTTTTTGTGCAAATGACAAACCTACTAGAGGCGCAGCGTGTCTTGACAATGTTCTAACCAATGTTAATTCTTCAGACTATAAAATAAGTGTTGTAAACCCGTTGTTAGGGGACCATGATGCGTTAATACTGGAACATTCTCAAATTTCTGCGGAACGTCAACTTCAGAAAGACGGCGAAGTATGGACCAGAAGATTCACGCCTGTTATGGTTGATAACCTTATTATGAACCTTAGCACTGTCAGTTGGGACTTGGTTTTTGACCCTAATTTATCTGCTGAAGAAAGTTTCAATCTGTTCTGGGACTGTTTTTTCTCTAATTTTAATGATTGTTTTCCTTTGGTGAAGAAGAAGGTGTTTAAAAATAGAACTCTCAAAAATAAAGTTAACTGGTACACCCCAGAGCTGGAAAAAATGAAAAAATTAATACTGTTTTATCAAGATGTGTATAAAATGTATGGTAATGAGGACATTCTTTTTTTATCCAAAAATCTAAAGGGCAAGTATCGCACTGCTATCCGAGAAGCAAAGAAGAGAAAAAACGAAGAACTCATCGAGAGGTCTACCAATAAGTGCAAGACTGCTTGGTCGGTAATTAACTCAGCTGCTGGGAGGTCCACGCAGAAAAATATGTCAGCGCTATCCCCTGATGACTACAGCTCCTACTTCTCCACGGCGGTGGAAGAAATCTGTGAGAAAGTGAATGTGTCAAAAAGCATTGCTCATCAAATGGTGGCAAAAAGTGCTCAACCTGTGTTTGATTTTAAATTCACAATGGTATCAGAATTAGATGTTTTAAATGTGATTGTGTCGTTAAAAAATTCTGATACTAGAGATGCGTATGGGTTAACGAGTAATTTATTGAAAAATGTTTGCTCTGTTATTTTAAGTCCTTTCACTTATTGTATAAATCGCTGTCTCATAGAGGGTGTTTTTCCATCGTTTATGAAATTGTCAAGGGTTGTCCCGGTGTACAAAAAAGGGGACAAAAATTTGCCTAGCAGTTACCGACCCATTTCATGTATTTCTACAATGGCTAAAGTTATGGAAAAAATAGTCAAAAACCAAGTATGTAATTTTTTTGAACATAGTAATCTGTTTAGTAACTGTCAATTTGCTTATAGGTTAGGTCTTTCATCAACTTTAGCGGTGGATCATGTTGTAAATAATCTTTTAAACGCTTTAGAGGATAGGTGCTTTGCTCAGATCACCTTATGTGATCTGAGTAAAGCGTTTGACTGTGTTAATCATCCCATTCTTGTAGACAAATTAGCTCATTATGGATTTCAAGGCTGTGAATTAGATTTATTTGTGTCATATCTTAGTAATCGTAGGCAAATGGTTGAGGTCAATGGTATTACATCGCAAGTCACTCATGTTAATTTTGGAGTTCCGCAAGGTTCAATTTTGGGCCCCATCTTATTTTTAATACTTATGAATGATCTATCTGTTAATGTTTCTTGTAGTGATGTCACAATCTATGCAGACGACACAACACTGTTCTGTAGCCACAGTGACTTAGGGCAGTTGCACTGCCTATCAGAAAATGCCTTAGGAGAATCGACTGAGTGGTTCTCTGCAAATGGCTTGCTTTTAAATGTTGACAAAACTGACAATTTATTGGTTTCAACCCATGACATCTGTGATTTTAGTTCTGTTAAGCTTTTAGGTATATATATTGACAATAGGCTGTCTTGGCAGCATCATATTGATTTTATCTGTACAAGGTTATCCAGAGTCAAATGCTTATTAAGTAGTTTAAGGAATCATGTCACTAATAGCTATTTGAAATTAGCCTATTTTGCATTTTTTGAGAGCATCATAAGATTTGGTATTGTGATTTGGGGTAATGGAGTAGGTATTGGTAAGGTGTTATTGATACAGAAAAAAGTCATTAGAATTGTTACTGGTGCCAAAAGATTAGATCATTGTAAATCTCTGTTCATAGAATCTAGTATATTAACTGTTGTAAATCTGTATATTTATGAAGTCTCCATTTTTGTGAAAAAGAACTCAAACAAACATGTTTTAAGAGGAAATGTCCATAGCCACTTAACTAGAAATAGAAATTTTATTGATGTAAGTAGAGTAAGACTGTCTAGATCTCAAAACTATCATACCCACTTGGGGATCAAAATATTTAACATGTTTCCAGTTGATTTTCGTGCATTGCCCTTAAATGAATTTTCAAAAAAACTGCTCTCTTGGTGTAAAGCTAATCCTATGTACAAGTTAAGTGATTTCTTCAATTTACAATTTGTAAACAAAGACTTAAATTTTATAGTTGTTTATAAATAATGTTTCTATTGTTAGATTGACGATGTCTATTGTAATTCTTGTGAATTAATTAATGACTAATAAACTTGTCTATTGTCTATTGTCTATTGTCTATTGACTGCTATACAGTGCATATTTTTTGACTACTACCCTCGGTAGTGTATTCCAACTTAGGTTGGGCGTTTGTGTATTGTTAGTTGTAATGTGTTAGTTAAGTTTTTTCACCTGAAGACGGGATCAGATTCCAGATCCCGAAACGTTGTGTATTGTTTTTTTTACATTCGTGATGGAAAATGTCCGCAATAAACCTTTGAACAACATTAACTCACCATCACCAACAATGAACTTCAAACAAAGAATTGATTCTCGGTACGGACCCGGAGTAAGTAATCAAATAAGTGAATTGGAACAAATGCATTTAAAATTGGCTAATCACACAAACCATTTGACCTTTCTTGTGAAATGCAAACGTGAAAATTTGATACCTAAAGGTTTTTACCTAAAGCCTCCTTACAAAAGTTTCAAAGCCAGCAAAATAATGTCTTTAGCTTCTAAATCTCTAATCAATGAAAGAATTGAACACCACCGTTTAGAAAAAAGACTTCTGAAAAGCTCTATTGAGAACAAAAAAGCTGAATTGGCACTAATAATAGGTTCTGATTTTCAAAACATTTTTCAAAGCATACAAAATAGGTTCAACAAAGAATCGGAAAATGTGAAGGCTAGGCAAAAGGCTAAACTACAACATCTCAGACCTCCCGATAACATTGATAGGAATACTCAAATTTCACAGTGTGATGATGCAAAAAACCAAGTTGTGAATCTGTCTTCTAAAGTTCTAAACCCAGTTGAGATTTCTGTTTTGAGCAGAGGGCTAAATTTTTCCGTTGTGCCTAAATCAGTTAAAACGCTGGATTTTGTGACAGGGATTGAGTCTGCTGTTTCTCAGTTACCTGAGTCTCAGGGGGATCAGTTCCGTTGTGAAGCTAGTATTTTACTAAAGAAAATTCCTACTCCTAAACCTAATCTTAGTAAAGAGGAAACCAAAGCAGTATCAGTCCTTGGGAAAGACGGTACTGTAAAGATTTTGCCCGCGGATAAAGGGAATGCCACGGTAGTTCTTGATACTTTGACATACGAAGAAAAAATGTTAGAAACTTTGCAATCTGGCCAATACACCCAATTGAAAAAAGACCCCACAGAAACTTTCGAGCGTAAAATCGCTAGTACTCTAAGAAAACACAAAAAGTTTTTTAGCGACAAACAAAGGACTCGGTTGACACCACACCATTCCAAAATTCCACACATGTACGGGTTACCTAAGATCCACAAACCTAACGTTCCTCTGAGACCAATAGTTAGCTCCCGTGATTCTGCTTGTAGGGAATTGTCTAAAGTCCTTCTGGACATTTTAAAGCCTTTAGTAGGAAACACTGATTCGTTTATCAAAAACTCCAAAGATTTTGTAGAAAAGTCTAAATCTATCGTACTGGCTGATACTGACAAGCTGGTCAGCTTCGATGTTGAAAGTCTGTTTACGAATGTCCCCGTTTCGGAAACCCTAAAAATAATTGAGACCCGTCTCACAAACGACGATACTTTAGCAAACAGAACTAAACTCCCTGTTAACGTCATAATGGAACTTTTGGAGTTGTGTACTCAATGTAACTATTTCCAATTAGAGGGTAAATTATACCGTCAAGATGAGGGTATGGCCATGGGGTCACCATTGTCACCTATCTTTGCCAACATCTTTATGGAGGAGTTTGAGCAAAAAGCTTTGGCTTCAGCTCGGCTCAAACCGAGGATATGGTGGAGATATGTCGATGACACTTTCGTGGTTTTCCCTCATGGAGATGATAAATTGAATGAGTTTTTAGAGCATCTTAATAGTGTTTCATCCTCCATAAAACTAACCATGGAGGTGGAATCACAAAACAAACTCCCCTTTTTGGACGTGTGCGTAGAAAAGCATTTGAACAGTCTTAGAACATCTGTTTACAGAAAAAAGACACACACAGGGCAGTATCTAAACTTTCAATCAAACCACCAAATTTCTGTCAAGGAGGGGGTTGCTTACTCTCTGTTTGACAGGGCTAAGAGCATTTGCTCCAATCAGGATGAGTTAAAGGATGAAATTAAGAAAGTAGAACAGGATTTGGCTAGTAACGGATACCCTCGATCCATTATAAACAAATGCAAGAAAGATAGGGCTACGCGTGAACCTTTACAAAATCGCAAGGAAAAACTCGTCCACATGTCAATCCCGTATGTGTCAGGACTGTCGGAAAAAATCAGAAGGGTTGCTAGGAAATTTAATGTGCAAACAGCATTTAGGACACAAAACACACTTAGGCAGAGTCTCGTCAAAACAAAACCCAAAAATGACACTCAGGATACTAAAAACTGTGTTTACAGAATAAATTGCAATGATTGTTCCAGGCCTTACTATGGCGAGACAAAAAGACCGTTGAACATTAGAATCAAAGAACACAGAGAAAACACCAAAAAAGGTTTAGTGGAAAAATCTAAGATCGCTCATCATTGCTGGTCCGAAAATCATCGTATGAATTTTGAAGAGGCAAAAATTGTCCATAAGGAACCTCATTTTTTCAAACGTAAACTCATTGAAGCCTCATACATTAAATTAGCAGACCAACCAATCAGTCAGTCATCGGTTGAAATAAGGCCACTTTGGCTACCCATTTTGAACAAGGAACTAAAGGATAGGGAACTTAATTGTTCAATAAATAGGGAAATAACGAGTTCTCCTCAAAATTCGCACGTTATGTTAACTCGTAGTAAAACTCGTGATATGAATAAACATAATTAACACCCATCTTGCGGCATCGTACATCGCTCCGCCATTTTGTTGGTTTTACTTTTCCAGGGACCGGAAGCCATTTCTGTTGTCTCCGTGTTTCCGATTGGTCAGCCATGTTGGTTCAGTCTCATTGGTGGAGTCATAGCGTACGGTGTTGTTAGTGTTCCATTGTGTGAGTTTTTTGTACGTAAACCTTTTATAGATTATAGTGTTTTGTGATTTGTTATTAATTGCATGTTGTATCATGACTTGACTGCTATACAGTGCATATTTTTTGACTACTACCCTCGGTAGTGTATTCCAACTTAGGTTGGGCGTTTGTGTATTGTTAGTTGTAATGTGTTAGTTAAGTTTTTTCACCTGAAGACGGGATCAGATTCCAGATCCCGAAACGTTGTGTATTGTTTTTTTTTACATTCGTGATGGAAAATGTCCGCAATAAACCTTTGAACAACAAAACCATTAGGTTTTAATCGTAGCATGGCCGAAGCAAAAAGTGTTACAGGAATTCGACTCATTAGGGAGAGCTCGGCCAACCATCCTCTAGGATATTTTGTGCTACTTGGAGCGGCTGGCCCAGGTGTTTCGGTGGAATTTTCGCGCCCCAGAATGGGCTCTTACTGAGAAGGCCCCCTGCATGCAACAGCCCACAGGCAGCGTAGATTGTGGAGTGTACGACTGCTTGTACACAGACAGAGCAAATCGCAACGGAGACGTCAGTGACGGATCTGGGAGCGTTGGATGGTGTTGCGTCGCGGAAGAGAATGGCACCAGCTCTGCGAAGATCGGAACTAATTAGAGATTAGGAGCAACTTCTAATCAAGGATGGAAGTGTCCGCACTATTGACCACCCAGTAGCGCCCAGTCACTCAGGTATATTTTGATAGTTATCTCCAATTATTATCAAAACATTCCAGAGTGACCCTAATGTAAATCAACATCTGGAATTTTGTTGTTGTTAATTATGACTTGAAATGCCAGTTAAATATACCAGCTTCCATTGAGGTATTCCAACCTCTAGATGACATCTGATATCGAAGACATTTCAGAAGGCATCTTTTACCAACGACTGAAACAGACGTACCATTTAGGACGACAAGACCTTCTTTCGATTTCAAACACAGACGGAGTTCCTGTGTTCAAAAGCTCCAAATCGCAACTTTGGTCACTTCAGTTAGCCTGACATGAACACGTTCTTGAAACCATTTACAGAATACCTTCAGCAGCGTCAAAGTTTTGGTTTTTAATGTTGTGTGCCAAACACCATGAAGGTTGTGAGTTCAAAGGTGTTTGCCACAATTGCGTGTTTAGATGCAGTAACGAGAGCTTCCGTCGGAAACTTCCACCAATTTAATGGTGAATATGAATGTATGTGTGAAAAAAAGGAGGAAGTCATTCCCTGTGGTCAAGGCACATCTAGAATTTACAGATAAGAAGATTCTTTGTTGAGGACACACAATCTATTTTGGAAAGTGGCCAGGAAGCAGTTGATAGTGGCAAGGTAATTAAAAGGGTAAAAGGGCCGTCAATACCCGGCAATGTGTTTAATTTAAATCTTGCAGAAACTTTTGTTCCTGACTACATGCACTGTGTCCTTTTCGGAGTGGTAAGGCAATTTCCTATTCCTTTGGTTAAACCCAGCCAACAAAGGAAACCCATGGTGCCTCCTCCAGTAAAAAGGTTCAGCTGGATAATTCATTGTCCAAAGTGAAACCTCCACAGGATCCCGCGCAATGTGGAACTGAGGAAATATTGGAAAGCCTCTGAGTATCGGGCCCGGCTTCTGTTTTATTCTGCCCCAGCACTTTCTCAGGTACTAACACAAAAAAATTCAACCACTGCTTCTTTTAGTGTTCTCCATGTTCACGCTGCTGCAAGAAAAACCCTCCAATCTTGAAATCGAGCTTTGCACCGTGCTCCTAGGAATGTTTTGAAGCAGTGTAGAAGATTTGTATAACCAAGAACAATTAACATTTAATGTCCACCCGCTTAGTCATCTGCCACTTAGTGTTGAACGATGGGGTCCCTTATGGGCAACATCGGCTTTCAGTTTTGAAAATAATAATGTGCTGAAACTAAAACTAATTCGTAGGACCCAGCAAATAAACATGCAGATTGCTAATACGTTTTATTTATTTTATTTTGAAAACTGAGTTTATTAATAAACTTTGCCTATTAGACACAGTAAAAAAAACTTAAATTTACGATATAAATAACATGTAACATAGATTAATAACGTTGTCCATATAAATGATTTTGAATGATTTTACATGATTCTTTTAGCACTTTTATGACTATTTCATTTTTTAATTTTGATGGAAGATTATATTTTTTTTTAAATTCGTCAAAAAATGTTGTAATAGTCCCTCTTGCACCAATCATTATGCCAATTACTGATATTGAATTTAGATTATATTTGTTTCTTAAATAAGTTTCACATTTACTATAAATTTTCCTCTTTTCTTCATCTACTTCTAGGGGTTGGTTTGATGATGTTTCGAACCTTATTGTTGGATCAATTACAATTCCACTTTTAGATTTTGTATCATAAATTAAAATGTCCAATCTTCTGTTCGATCCACCATCTTCAGTGCAATGTATTTCTCCTACTACTTGCCAGCCTTTTTTTTCGTAGTTCTTCTGCGATCATTGCTCTTACAGCATGGTGTCTTGCATTACGCAGTAAGGCACCAAAGGGACAAGAGCCAAGGACATGCGGAAGGGTTTCAGTCTCCTTGCAATGTCTGCAAAGGGTTCCATCCTGGCTTCGCCCTGGTACGCTGCGTACTGGTACAACACCAGATATCATTTTTAATGAAGTGATCCATTCTCCTGTAGTAAGGCCATTTTTTAAATAAATCCATGTGTTGCTACTAGGCACTTCTTTGAATAATTCTATTCCTCTACCTTTACATGGTAATTTAGACTTATATTTTTAAATTATATTATTGATTACTGATATTGAATTTAGATTATATTTGTTTCTTAAATAAGTTTCACATTTACTATAAATTTTCCTCTTTTCTTCATCTACTTCTAGGGGTTGGTTTGATGATGTTTCGAACCTTATTGTTGGATCAATTACAATTCCACTTTTAGATTTTGTATCATAAATTAAAATGTCCAATCTTCTGTTCGATCCACCATCTTCAGTGCAATGTAATGAATATTATACAGTACGTTAATGGTCTGTGCGTATTACAATCTGGAATTGAAGGTAATAACCATGGTGATAGGAAACCTAAAGTCTTAATTTTGGCAAACCCTTAAAATCAAAACCCCAACTATCGATTATAGAAAAACATCAGCTCTCAAATAATTTGTCTTATGAGTTTACCAATATTCAGTTCTTTTCAAAATGTACCATTGGTAAAACCTTGTTCACCTCACAAGCATATATTAAATCATTAAAACTCAACAATAGAACTGTAATGCATCAGCTATTAGTTAACTCTACGTTGGTTTCATTTATAGGGTACATTAAGTTTTTTCCTCTTTTTTTCAAAAAGGATGACCTGTCAGTTGATGTTTTTATTATTCAACGAATTTTTTTTTTATTCAACATTATCTATATTTAACATTATTATAGCAGTGTACTAAATAATACGCATATACAGTAATGAAAACAATGATATTACAACTTTTGCATCAAATAATAGCCTAGCTAGTAAATATATTTTGTCATTATAAAAATACACATCATTATTATTTTGTTTTAATTATATATATATATATATATTATATAATAGTTAATATATATATTATACAGTACGTTAATGGTCTGTGCGTATTACAATCTGGAATTGAAGGTAATAACCATGGTGATAGGAAACCTAAAGTCTTAATTTTGGCAAACCCTTAAAATCAAAACCCCAACTATCGATTATAGAAAAACATCAGCTCTCAAATAATTTGTCTTGTGAGTTTACCAATATTCAGTTCTTTTCAAAATGTACCATTGGTAAAACCTTGTTCACCTCACAAGCATATATTAAATCATTAAAACGCAACAATAGAACTGTAATGCATCAGCTATTAGTTAACTCTACATTGGTTTCATTTATAGGGTACATTAAGTTTTTTCCTCTTTTTTTCAAAAAGGATGACCTGTCAGTTGATGTTTTTTGTTTGGTGGAGAGACACGAAATAAAAAAATGTTTTTCAAATTAGAGAATTTATAATGTCAAAATACATCATGTAATCCAAATTAAGCCAGATTCTTATTTATTAGACATTGTGTCAGTTAATAATATAGAGAAGAAGTAAGTTGTCTTAAACAATGAGTTGGTTGCCTACTTTCCGAATGCTTATAAATGTAACCTCTAAACAGTAATTAGCCTAACACAGCATATGTCAGTTGAAAATAATTGTTACTTTGGCATTGATTTCCTCAACACACTAAATAATATCCTGCTATTTAACTGATGTAAACACACATTCTAATAAAACATAATAAATTGTATACTTTTGTAATACAATCTATTATATATATAATTCAGTTTTGAAAATCTTTGTACAACTAAATATAGAGTTCTACTGGACCGATTTTATTAATTAATGGGTCGTTGGAAAGCTTGATTCGTGTAGATTTGCAAATAATTATGAAAGTTGGTTTTTGTTATGATTTATGGTGAAAACCTTCAAAAAAACATGTTTTCCATAAGAAATACATTGAAAACGGTGTTTTTCACAGTTTTTATTTGGGTGAGACTTTTGGCTGTCTTTTTGAGTGTTTCCAAGAAGTATATGGTATCAATTTGTAGGAAATTTTATTCTCTTTCAGAATATCACCTTCCACTTTGGTCGATTTCCTTACCATTCAAAAGTTATTTGCAAAAAAGCTAAGCAACCTCCGAATTCATAGTAATGAGAAAATACAGAGTTAGGGATATTTTTGTTAAACTTTTTTAAAAGTACATTTTTAAAGTGCAAATGTCAAAAAAGGTACTAATGTCGGTAATGTACCATGTTCTCGACAGCACAAATGTTGAGGTATATCTTTCTTGTGGTAAAGATATAACCCCATTGTTTAAAAAATGTTTATTAACATTCTGTAATATTTTACTGAATAATTATAGTAAAATGAAAAAAAAAACAACGAACAATCGAGGAAGGAAAGAAGTGTGCCAAAAAACGTAAGCTAGATAAGCTTTGTAATAAGAGTTGATAAAAGATTGTCTTGTACAGATTAAAAACAAGTTAAGACTGAAATTGTTTTTTTTTATTCAACATTATCTATATTTAACATTATTATAGCAGTGTACTAAATAATACGCATATACAGTAATAAAAACAATGATATTACAACTTTTGCATCAAATAATAGCCTAGCTAGTAAATATATTTTGTCATTATAATAATACACATCATTATTATACGAATAAAAAAATAGCTAGTCACTACGCTACACTAACATAAAACATCACTGCAAAATTCTATTATTAGGTATGTTTCTGCAAAATAAATGTTGGAATAGAAGTATCGTATGAAAAATTTAGAGAAGAGTTTGATAAGTGCAACATTGGATTTGGATATCCAAGATCCGACACGTGCAATAATGCACTCAAAGTCCAAGAGGGAAGTATTAATGAGGAAATTTCTAGAACTGTTGATCCTAACGAATTGTAAGATTTACAAAAGAAGTTAAATAAGCTACACACTGAAATGGAATTACACAAACGAAGAGCAGATTAATTTTATAGTCTTAAAAGATCTGATAGACTTAAAGCACAGAAATCTGACAGTTTGAAGCTATAACAATAGATTATGGAAGAAATCTACCACTTCCAAACATAACAA